CCGGCCACCGCAGCTTAAACCTGCTGGGCTCCGGCAATCCTTCCACCTCAGCCTTCCAAGTAGCTGGAGCTACAGGCGCGCGCTACCACGCCTGTCTCATTTTGATTTATTGTAGAGATGAGGTCTCGCCAAGTTGCCCAGGCGGGTCTCGAACCGGCGGGCTCAGGCAATCCACTCACCTCAGCCTCCCAAAGGCGCGGATTACAGGCTGAGTCACCGAGCCTGGCTTATCCGTTGTATTTTTTTTGGACATGACACAGTTCCTTTTTGTCCTCCCTTAATTTTTTCTTTTTTCTTTTTTTTTTTGCTTGTTTGAATTGTGTAGTCTACTAGCTAGTATTGTATTTGCTTTCTGTTAACATTTGCTTGAAACTGTGGAGCAGTATTGTCCAGGCATTTATTTTTCTCATCCAAATTCAACTGTATACATTTGACAAATCAGTGAAATAAGTGATGCCCTTGATTTTACCAATGAATATGTGATTGTGAGTGAATGTAAAGATGAAAATTATGAATCTCATTTCCTTGGTAGATCACTGTTTGGAGGGGCACTTCTCAGCTCCTTGCTAAATGTAGTGATGGTTTGGTCTTGCAACATAAGGTAACTTTACCCTGGCTCCTAAATGTAAGTCAGCTGCTCTGTAGCGAGTATGTTCATCTACAGTGTGGTGCTTAAGAGTTTGAAATGAATAATTTGCCTGAATGCCGTTTTTATCTTTCAAAGCATATAACAACTCCTCAGTGTGACCCCATTGTGGATGTTTTACCATTTTTCCTTCGTTTACTTTGTATTATCTTGTTTGAGGTATGTCTTTTTACTTCAGCATATAGTTGAATTTCTTCTTCAATCCAGAAGAGAAGTAGTTGACCTGTTTGTGATTACTGATATGCTTTCATTCATTCCTGTCATTTTTTGTTTTGTGATTGCTATACTTTTTTCCTTTTCTTCTTTGTTTTTGAACTGAGTGACTTTTTCCCTCCTAGTTTGAAAGTCATATGTTCTTTTTCTCTTCTGGAGTGATCTGTAAATTTTTAACACATTAAATCCTCATGTCTCTATTCTGTCTAGAATTAATCAGCATCTTTATCTTTTCTTCCCTCTCCCAAGACAGTACTGCTACTTGCTTTTACTTCCTTCTTTCTCTTCCCTCTTCGACTTCCTATGTTGAAATCATGTAAGTATTTTAGTTTCAGATTGCTTATTTTTCTGATAGTCAGCATGTAATGGTACCTTTACTTGTTTTCTTATAGCTCCTGGGTAAAAAAATTTCTTAAAGCTCATGGATGTTTTTAATTATGTTGGCATGCATCTGCTGATTATTTTAGGAAAGATCTTGAGCAGTAAAAAGTCTTTGCACTTCCACTTGAGAACTGATTGGACTGGGTATAGGTTTCAAAATATTTTTCTTTATAACTAAGCCGGTGCTCCGTTGTCTTCTAGCATCTGTGTTCCTAATGAAAAGTCTATTTACCTTTATGTGACCTATATATCTTTGTAGGAATTCAGGTTTTTCCTTAGGATTTTCTGAAATTTCAGTAGGATGTGTCTATTTGTCTTCCTCTTTTCCCTAATTTATTCTCTTTAACGCTTAAAGTTTCAGCTGATGATTCATGTCCTCCCTCTTTCCCCAGGAAATTTCTAGAGCTCCCATAAGGTAGATGTTGAGCTTGCTGGTTCTATATTTTCTCTAGACTGACCTTTCCTTCATCCTTGAGAGGCATTTGGGGAGTATCTGCTAGTTTTGTTTTCCATTCGTTTTTTTCCTCTGTCCCTTTTGCTGTTAAATATATCTGTTGAGCTTCATTTTGGCAATTGGTTTTTCTCCTTTTTAAAATATAAGTGTCTTTATTGAGGTATAATTCACATATGACAAACTGCATCTATTTAAAATGTACAGTTTCTGCCCAGTTCGATGACTCACACCTGTAATCCCAGCACTTTGGGAGGCAGAGGCGAAAGGATTGCCTGAGCCCCAAGGGTTTGAGACCAGCCTGAGAAACATGGCGAGACCTTGTTTCTACAATAAATCAAAAAATTAGCTGGGTATGGTGGCGTGCGCCTGTAGTTCCAGTTGTGTGGAAGCCTGAGGTGGAAGGATTGCCTGAGCCCAGCAGGTTGAGGCTGCGGTGGCCTTGGGCATGCCACTACACTCCAGTCTGGGGGAAAGAGTGAGATTCCAACTCAAAAATAAATAAATAACATGTACAGTTTTATGCATTTTACCAGACACACACACACACACACACACACACACACACACACACACACACCCCTCTTCCTCTAAACAATCAAAATTTTGGTTACCATAGAAATTTTTTTTCTGTTTCTGTGCAGCCCATCCCCTTCCGCCTTCTGTGCAAGCCGTCTTTCACTCAGCCTGTTTTTACATGTTAAGTGTGTAGTAGTTTGTCCCCTTTTTTGGTTTTGAGAGCATTTTTCCCTACAATTAGAAAACTAATTTAAATTTTACCGGTTAACAATTTTTTTTTTTTGTAGAGACAGGGTCTGGCTGTGTTGCTCTGGGTGGTCTCCATCTCCTGGCCTCAGGTGATCCTCCTGCCTTAGCCTCCCAAATCTCTGGAATTATAGGCATGAACCACTGGGCCTGGCCCTGTTTCATCAGTTGTACATAAACTCTTCTCTGTATGTGTATTTAGTTCTTACATAATTTTATCATGTGTTATTTTTGCAGCCATATACAGTTGGCAATCTTTAAAATTTTTGATTTTCTTATAGTACCTTATTCGTTTTTTATGGATCTAATTTTACCTCTGAGGATATTCATGATTCTCCTGTTTATTTCTGCAACTTTGTCTTAAGATATTTAGTTTCTAGGATTGGCAGTAGTGGGAGACCGCGTGCGGGGGGTGGGAGGTAGTGGTTAGAATTGGCAGTAGTGGGAATCTGCCTGGGGAAGGGGGGCGGGGCACACCTCATCAGCAAGGGTACCTGCATAATGAATATTTGTATACCCAATCCTGAATTGTACCTCACATCTTTAAAATAAAAAATTTAAAAGTTAAAAAAAATACAAAAAATACTTAGTTTCTTATTTTTGTGGTTGATTTCCTTTTTTGGTTTTTCTTGTTTGTAAAGTGATCATCTCTGATTTGAGAATTGATGTTCTTTTGTCAGTGGATGCAGTTTCTGTTGACCGTCTGTCAGGATGGGTTGCAGGGGAGATGTGGAATGTGCGGCCAAGTGGGGGGTGTCCTGGTTCCTTCTAGTGGCTACCCTGCCTACAGCTCTGATAGAGCACTTCTGCTCGCTCTCCCACCTTCAGAGCTGCTCCTCGTTCTAACAGCATTCCTCTTTGAGGGTTCTGCGTGGCCATTGTCTCCATCAACCTAGTTCTGCTGGTGTGTTCCCAGAATTATTTTAGAAAAGAATATATCAGTAAATCCCTATCTTTACTCATTTCTAGGATTTAGGTGGGACGGGAAAGCATGTATAGATGCTCTGACTTATGATGGGTTATGTCCCAATAAACCCATTGGAAGTTGAAAATATCCCAAGTCAAAATGCCTGTAATCCATCTAACCTATGAAACATTACAGCTCAGTTTAGCCTGCTTAAGCTTGCTTAGAACACTTAACACTGCTTACAGTTGGGCAGAATCCTCTAGCACAAAGCCTATTTTATAATAAAGTATGTGTGTACACCAGGCATGGTGGCTCACGCCTATAATCCCAGCACTATGAGAGGTAGAGGTGAGAGGACTGCCTGAGTCTAGGGGCTCGAGACCAGCCCAGGCAACTTGGTGAGACCTTGTCTCTACAATAAATCAAAAAATTAGCCGGGTATAGTGGTGTGTGACTGTGGTTCCAGCTACTTGGAAGGCTGAGGTGGAAGGATCACCTGAGCCCAGCAGGTTGAGTCTGTGGTGGCTATGAGCGTGGCACTGTACTCTAGCCTGGGTAACAGAGTGAGACTCCAACTCAAAAATTAAACAAATGAATAAAATATAATAGAGTGTGTTGAATATCTCATGTAATTTATTGAATACTATATGAAAGTAAAACACTGAATGAGTACTCAAAGTACAGTTTCTGCAGAATGCCTGTCGCCCTTACACCATTGTAAAGTTAAATTGTTATGTTGAACCATCCTTAAACTGGGGACCATCTGTCTGTGTAGTCCATCTTGATAATTTCCCCAAACCATTTTTTGAAAGAATGTTTAAGGAACAGATGTTAACTTCAAAATTCCATTGAAATTTTTATTTTTGGGATATCAGATTTTGAGAGAGAAATTGACCATTGAAGACTGTATGTTATGTAGGGTTGAGAATTTCCTCTTTCTCTAACTTAAAGTACTGAACCAGAGTTATAAAGTCTCAGTGTTTCTTCAAGCCAATGGGATAAAGATTTTCATTCTCAGCCTTTGTTTTTCTTTTTTTTGAGTTGGAGTCTCACTCTGTCGCCCAGACTGGAGTGCAGTGGCCGCTCCTGGCCACCGCAGCCTCGACCTGCTGGGCTCCAGCAATCCTTCCGCCTCAACCTTCCAAGTAGCTAGAACTACAGGCACATGCTACCACGCCTGTCTCATTTTGATTTATTGTAGAGATGAGGTCTCGCCAAGTTGCCCAGGTGGTTCTTGAACCCGCAGGCTCAGGCAATCCACTCACCTCAGCCTCCCAAAGGCGTGGGATTACAGGCTGAGCCACCGAGCCTGGCTAGCCTTTGTTTTTCAGAGTTGGGGTTAATGGGTAGTAATTTTGATATTTTAAAAAATATTTCATAATTCACTTTGGGCTTGTGTGGATAGGAAGTTTGGGTTGGCTCAGTACTTTGGCATTTTTTTCTTTTTGATCTTTGTCATTTTCTTTTAAAAAGATATACTTCCAAGTCAGACAGAAACACATTTCTTCTCCCAAAAACCTTTTTGTTTAGAATTATATCCTTGGAACCACAGGATTTGAAATAAGTCATTATCTAGAAAGGGTAAATTTAGTTTTCAGAAAAAAAAATGTTCTGACTTATTTTTCTTCCTCATTTAGTTTTTCCGTGGTTTGGCTTGGATATTGGTGGAACCCTGGTCAAGCTGGTTTATTTTGAACCCAAAGACATCACTGCTGAGGAAGAAGAGGAAGAAGTGGAAAGTCTTAAAAGCATTCGGAAGTACCTGACCTCCAACGTGGCTTATGGGTCCACGGGCATTCGGGACGTGCACCTTGAGCTGAAGGACCTGACTCTGTGTGGACGCAAAGGCAATCTGCACTTTATACGCTTTCCCACTCATGACATGCCTGCTTTTATTCAAATGGGCAGAGATAAAAACTTCTCGAGTCTCCACACTGTCTTTTGTGCCACTGGAGGTGGAGCATACAAATTTGAGCAGGATTTTCTCACAGTATGCATTTTTTAGCTTATATACAATTTATGGTAATTTGATTGTTAAAAATAATACCAGTAGCAAGTGGTGGAATCATTTCCATGTCTAATGGAACTTGAATTACTTGAATTTTCTTGAGTCAAATGAAGATTGAATGTAAATTAGTGATGGTCAGGAATTAACCATCAAAGGTGGTTGCGTAGTTTAATTTTTTGCCCACTTCAAATGTATGGATGAGAATCGGAACTGCTAAAAGTAGCCTTTCGTTGTTCCTTTAGTAGGAAAAATTAGAGGGTCTGTGACAAGCAGAGTAAGAAACTACTTAGGAAGAGCATCATTATATCTTGAACAATGAGATTAAAAAATAATTTTTTGGGGGGAAGTAAGCTAGCTTTTTTTATTTTCTTAATTTTTAAGTTTGAAGATACGGGTTACAATTCAGGGTTTGGTATACAAATGAAAAATAATTTTTAGAAATCTTGTCATTTCATGTCATAAAATTGTTTCTAATCTTGTCTACCACATAATTTCTCTTGTCCTGTTCGGCTTCCTGGCATGGTCACTAATTGATAACATAAGGAACTCTGGTCAAAAGTGGTGTTTTCAGGCCTCTGGGCACATCTGAAATGGCTGATGTTAGAGTCCTCTCCTGGGATTCCTTCTGTGCCTCACACTAGTCAACTGCAGTCTCCATTGTGGCCCCTAGGGGGAGTGCCTCCTGCAGTTGATTTTGCTTCCTTTCCGTGAACCCTGTGAGCCAGGTCCTTTGTGGGTGAATATGAGGACAGATGGGAGAACTGACAGATGAATGGCCAAGACCCTGACCTTCAGGATGCAGTACAGATTTGAAATGTCTTCCGTGACCCGTCATGATTTTCATGCCACCAAATGAGAATATTAGTCCAAAGGAGATTCTGCCTTTGCTCTTCAATGTGTCTCCCCACCTTCCCATGTCGTTGTATGATTTGTGACCTTGTCCTCTTTCTTTGCCCTTTGCCTCCTGATTTTTTTCTGTAACTGGCCATAGTAATCATAACATAGATTGATGTGAATTATTTAATAAGGTTTTACATTCTTTGCTTGGATTTGTTTTTTTTTTTTTTGAGTTGGAGTCTCACTCTGTCGCCCCG